ACATTGCTGAAAATAGAATGGTGAAAATTGGACATGTTACTGATGAGAAGACTAATAAATAGACTAAATAGAGGGAGAAGGAGATGGAAGTGGCCTGATGATGTTCTCCAAAAATAGAACAAAAATTGTTTTTAAAACTGGCATCAGTAGCTAGTTCATACACTGTAAATATTTATATAATAGCTCACTTATTACCTGGTTTTCTACAATTGTAGCAGGACGGCATATCTGGACTTTGCATACAATCCTTGGCAAAGTGCCCTTCCCCATAGCAACGATAACAACGAGCAGCTTCCTCCTTACAGTCACGTGCATAGTGACCCATTTTGTTGCACTTGTGACATTTGTCACGACTTCTACTGAAAGAGCCTCTTCCAGAATCTCTACCACCTCCTGGCTGTGAGCACTCCCTAGCAAAATGACCAGGTTGATTGCACTTATAACAAATGCTGCCAGAACTCATTGTTAATCTAAAAACAAATTTACTTATATAATAAACTACTATTTTTAATTATTTTTTTTAAGCTAGATCACAGTTAAAATTTCCTAACAAAATGAAACAAAAAATAACACACAGAAACATTATATCATAGGTTCTTTAATTATTTCTTAAATTTATCTGTAAGTTTTATACCTTTACATTTTTTGAGTGGCCAAAAATTTATCAAAATTTTATCTTCAATTGTTAAAATAATTTATTTACAAAAATACTTCATGGGATTACAGATAAAATGCAACAATATATTTGGCTAGTAACCGAGACATTTTTATAAGAGAAAATATGAAAGAATTACTTTTTTTCAAAACATAATATTGCTAAGCAAAGCTAAATAGTGTATAATGAAGATTATCAATATGATAATGCTAAGAGTATGAGAGCAAAAAAGTAAACTATCTTAATGGTATTTGATGTTTCCTCTTTTAAGTTTCTATTGCTGGGAATATTATTGTATCTTAAATCGTCAAGGCAAACAAATAGTTTGAGTTTAAGTGTTCTAATATTAACCCTGCAGTCATGATGCACTGTCTCTCAGACTTTATTAGTAGAATGACTGAGCTACTCATCCCACTAGCTTCCTAACTTGAGTCAACCTTTCAGCCTGTAGTGTGTTTAGTTGTTGACAAGTCTTTGCCTGTACAGTATCAGCTATTTTTTTCAAAACCTGGTCTCTAGACCAAAGATAAACAAAAACATGATGGCAGGGAATTATAAGGTCTTGAGAAATATAAGAAGGTGGTCAATGGTAGAGCACAATTTACAACCCGAACCAAAGAAAACAGAAGCTATAGGTAGTTGTGTAATGTGTGACTGAAAAAAAAAATAAAAAAACTATTCTCCTACAGCACATACCTAAGTGTAAGTACGTGTACCTTGAACACTTGGTCAGTATTTGCACAAAATATGTACAAAACACAAAACAAGTAGCCTAGTTTTATTTTTTGTTTGATTTTTTCCAATTATACATTACTGACATCTTTAAAAACAATAATTTTAACTTTTGAATATTAATTCATAAGTTATTTAAGGTGTTTAGTCAAAACATATTATTACATATAATAAATATTTTAAATTAGAAAACAATATGTCTTTGCTCTTTTTTCTCAAATGCAATGCTAAAACATAAACATGGTTTGTGAGACAATAGTCACACTGCAGGGTTAAAATACTGAATAAAATTTGTTACTATTTAAATCTAAATTATTTTTGATATCTAAAAGAATTTTAATTGAATATGTTTAGAATCTAAAACAATTAATTAGTCTCATTAATATTGATATATAAAGGGAAAATATAAATTTAGTCATGGTAAATTAATTAACTTAACATGTTTCATAGCTGGAAGCTATTGACATCTCAATCTTAAATAGACTAAAATATTTGGAATTTGTGACTATCTAATGAAATAGTGAATAAATGAATAGAACCAAAACAAAACATAATGTAATACAGGTCAAAACTATATTTACGTTTTACACTACAACAAATGATTAAAAAAAATTGATGGCAAAAAAGTCTTATTAACACTTAAGAATATTTTTATGGGTTTGTCATCACCAAATGCCACTTGTGGAACGACAAAAAGAAGAAATATTACTGTAAATATCTATCAGTCAACATCAATACTTAACACAATACACCTCATACCTACAACATTAATTTGGTCTTGAATCACACAATACCTAGGAACATCAGTTATTAACCTGAAGACAAAACTTGATGTTAATCATATTAAGGCAGTATGACACTATGGATTTTCTTGTATCATTTCTTATATCTTTTCTGATATAACAAAAAAAAATGGATAACCAAGATTAGAACAGCAGTAACCAAATTGAAAAACAATAAATCACAGGGTTTGGATCAAATAGCAGCAGAACTACTGAAAGTAGGAGGAGATGTATTACTAAAAACAATACATAACCATTCTAAAAATTAGTGATGAGTTTAAAGATTATTTTATATCTCCAAATAAGAGAGTAGAATTTCAAGAGCATGCTATTCAAACACATAATTCGTAAAAAAAAACAAATTATTACAACCAAATTATTTATTATTTCTTTCTTCCTTTACAGCCTGTTGAATATCGTCAAAAATTGTGGTTTCCAATTTAGTTTTAATATTAAAACATTTTATTTCTTTCATTTTTGAACAGTATTTTAAAAAATAATCAGTAACATCTGGCTTGGGGTCCTAAGGTACTGCAGTTCTATTTTTATAGGTGTCAAAATTTCAGCCAATCATGTGCCGAATCACATACAATTTCCGGTAAAAGAACTTGCAGTGTCATACAGAGCACAAATATATGTGCAAGAAACAATACAAGAAAACATAAATGACTTTCTAATCAGAAAAGATATAAGAAATGATAAAAGAAAATGCATAGTGTCATAAGGCCTTTACTTTCAAACGGAAGATGAACTTTCAGGATTATTTATATCTTCATACTTAAATCAACTAAGTTAAGACTTATAAAGTTTATCAAACTAAACAAAATCATCTATCTATTCAGTTAGCTAAGTAGATCACTTTTTTCCAAAACTGGCAAGGTTCTCCCATTTTGCTAGTAATTTCTCCATTAATGACTGTTTTCTTATTTTACTTCTTTTTCCAATGTAGCTACTATTAATTCTAAATTTTGTAATGTTAAATCAATAGAGGTACCGTTTTATTTATTTATAATTAAAATGTGCTAATAACAGTCTAGAAAGTAAGATCATTGTTAAGGAAAATGAACTAAATTTTAGCAAACTGTTTCACAATATGAAATAAAAATATTAAACAATAGAATCCTTATTTATGCGGTAACTACATCACGATTCTCGGAATTCTTTATTTATTAGATACCAAGAATTTAATTTCCAGTTATTATTAATTTAAATCTAGATGATATCAACGTATGTGGCAAATTGTATTCAAGAGCCATTATTTTAGATTAATTATTTTGTAAAATAATGCAGAAGTCTGTATTATTTCAAATAAATTTTGAAAATTAACATTTTACACTATCCATAATGTAAGCAACCAATAACTACAAGAATCCTTGAAATTATATTTTTGAAAAGTAGTTTAACTTTCTATTTTCTAATATACGTGTTTTAGATCGAAGTAAAATATTCCAAACCGACCCCAAATTGTTTATAACTTAACATAAAATGGTTTATTATACGATTCAAAGAAGTCAGTCCACGTGTTTTAGTAGACCATTTTGCAGTAACAAAGAAAAAGTATTCTTACCTTTTTGTACTGTTTTCAAGTAGTTAAATACGACTGTATGATTATAAATGAGTTAAATAATAAAAAATCACTTGAATTATGCCACATTCGAGTCAAATATGTTATAATAAAAGTAAACACTTTATTAAAAACTCTACAAAATGAAAAACCGGTACTACGCGCATAAATGCCAGATTGACAAGCACTTGATGATAGAGGTCGTGGATTATCGATAGTGGCATCGATTTGAATGCCCGATTATTAATCGACCTACGATTATTTATTCAACCAAAGCAAAATTATTCTCTATTTTCGTCATTATTGCTTTTATTTAAATAACTTACTATTTCCTGCTCTATACTTGCTGTTATCAACCGAAGTAAGACATAGAATATATGATAAATATAGTTAAAACAGCATCATTTATCTGAAGCCATGATTCTGAAGCTACATGGCGAAATTAGATATTTTATATTTCTTCTTGGATTCCTGAAAAATTATGTAAAATGCGTATTTTTAGAATAAAAATCTATATTCTCAGGTAATTATAATATAAACATCAAAAATCGCGTAAATTCTATTAAACCCATTTTATTTTGGAGAAGATTTTTTTTCATTAGTTATATTATTGTGATATTTAATATCTTTCAAATAAAGACAAAAAATGACTACCCCAATGAAATGTGAAATATTTTAAGAGCGGATATCTTAAACGTGTAGTGATATAAAAGTAACATCATAACTAAATTTTTGATTTATTATGGTGACAAATATTTAGATGGCAACAGAAATTGAGAAACAATTATTTCTTTTTTAACACCATCTTTAATAAATGATCCAAAAATTCTGTTTTTGTCCTAAACTTAACCCTTTTTCTCTAAGATCTTGTCTCCGATTTCGATGTTTATCGAAATAAAGACGATCGATGCTTTTCCTCCTCTTTAAGAAACTTCCTGACAGCACAACGGTTTTCAATGCACATGCGTTACTTTTGAGAGGTAAATTTAAAATAAATATAAAGCTTTTAATGATTTGTGATTAATATGATTAATCTGTTTGTGTATTATTAATTTATTTAAAAAGATCTATTAAACAAATACTAATTTTATATAATTTGCGTTTGGGTTACTCTTGCAAAAATATTTTTGCATTACTAACTATTATTTTTATAATATAATATTTTAAAGAAACCAAGAAACTTTAATTTAATTGGTTGGGCCAGGAACTCTCTCTTCAAGAATTGTCATTTGTCAAATACAAATTGTCAAACTGTTACCGTTTATAACGAATATTGAAGATTGAATCATATTTTTTAACCCTTTTGGAAATTATTCAAATATTTTGATTTTAGTTGTTCAATGTGAAAATGGACGTACATTTACAAGCTACAGAGTGGTTAAGAACGTTAGGATATGATGGTAATATTCCAGATGATTTTAAAACGTATGTATTATTATATCTTAAATATCATTTTTGATTCAATTTTTTTCATTGTTACTAATTTTTTTATTTGTTATTGTTATATTTATATAATTTGTGGTTATAATGTTAATTATTCACTTCATAATTATGATTTCGACCTGCAGATCGAAAATACAATTTAAAAATAAACAATTTTTTAATTTCTATATAATAAATAATTAAATAAGTTCTTTGTCATTAAAAAGTTTCGTCCTCGAGATCCAAAGCCACCGTCAAAATACAATTTATAAATAAACAATGTTTGTTTTATTTTGTAATAAACAAAAAATATTCTTTCTTTTAAAATTGCATTCCGATGTGAAAACTTTAGTAATAAACATTTAATTTTAATGTGGCCTCTGTGTCCGAGAGATAGGGATGATTTTGTTCTTGCAATATATTTCCACATATATTATAAAATGGGAATGACTATTCTTTTTTGTACTTTACGACTGGCAAGTTGGATAGTTTTTTGTGGTATCATCGATTTTTTTTTATATATACCATCCATCTACCCACTCATATCCATTCGACCATCCATCAATGTCCAACCATCCACCCACTCATATATCCATTAAACAATCCATTCACTTGGAGTGGCCAGTTTGATGGTTTATTTTTGGGGTACATATATTTTCTGGATGAATGGATAGTTTTAGTCATATTTTCACTGAATTTCGTCTATCCCACATAAAAAAGTTTTATTAACTTTTATTGTAAAGTTATAGGCAACTTACAACAAAAATCGTACATATCATTGTAACTTACAACAAAAATTATAGATATTATTGTAACTTAAAACCTAAATCATATCATTGTATCTTAACCAATATCATATGTAGGGTAGAGTAGTTTTTATTTGCATACATTTTTACATCTAAATGTACAAAAAGTAATATTACAAATAAAATAAATACATAAAAGAAAAAAACAGGTGAAATCTTGTTACAATCCAAAATATGATAAAAAATGCAGATTAGTCTAGTGCAGATTTAATTATTAACAATGAAATCATAGTATATCTAAAATACACAGACTATAACATTTAAAATAACTATACACTAAAGTGGATTTTTCATTTATGAATGCTTCAGAGCGTGAGTAAGCTGATATAGTATAAAGGTATAATATGTATTGGTTATCTGTGAACAGCACTATGATTAAAAAATTAAGAATGAAACTGGAACAAAATCATGAAGTGAAGATATCCAGGAGTGGCTAGTATACCTGTTGAATACAAAGCATGTGGTGTTCTTATGTATCAAGGTATAAAAAATGCTTATTAAAAGCTTAAAACTTTATTTTTAAAGAAGATCTTTTCGGAATTAAATCATGCCATCATCAGTTTAATAAAAAGTTGTTAAAAACATTGTTTGGCCACAGAAAAACACTAGATGGACATCAGTAACAAAAACAATCCTAGTGGAATTTACAAATTGTTGTCCTCCATACTGTCTACGACATTATTCAGGCACCATCTGTACATACACCTATATAATTTTCCCAGTTAAAATTATTTTCGGTCATATATGAATTTAAAATCTCAATAATTTCCACATATTTTTCATCAAAATAATAAATCCTCACATACATATGTTTCTTGTATGTAATTTATTAATTAAGCATTACTATTACTATTGAGTTGAATGCCAAATAAACCTGCAAGTTTCATGTCGTCAATATGATACAATCATCACTGATACCATATCAACAGCTGCAGGTCATACCAGTTCCTTAGCAGCAGTGTGTCGTTTCTTATATTTGGCAACATGGTAAGCTACCAAGTAGGAGGCAAGTAATGCTTTGGTAGGAACTGACGCTCTTGAAACCAAAGCTATGATGATTTAGATCTCACAATTTTCTTAACAAAGAAGTCTCTCTGCTTACCTTGAAACTAACTGTGACATGATTATAACTACCATTTTAGTTTATTAGGAAGCATACTTTCAGGTGTCAACTCTTTGTGACAAACAACACATTGAGGAAGTTCTACATCCCCTTTAATAATGCAGGTAAATCCAAAATTCAAATATTTCCCATATTTCTTCCGTTTACCTAAATCTATTAGATACAGTTTTTTGTTGTTAATGATAAAAATAATACCTATCTAAAAATTTTATACATTTTTGAATGTTATTTTTTTATTTAGATTTAGTGCAATTCCGTTATCTGTGATGGCAGCAATGAATTGATTCACAAATCATTGTGTCTAGTCTGAAAACAGGTTTACATTGGGAAACAGAAGTTTACCAGTTTTATATGATGAGAAGTGTACCAGGAGCAGAGAAAATTTATTTTCAGAAAAATTTTAAAACTTTTAAACTATTACAATAATAGTAACTATATAAAAATACAGTTATATTTCGGTATAGATGTGTACGCTGTGAGTTTAGCTTAACATTTGCGTCCAAATCAAATCGCAGTTGATTCCAGCGCACACCGTCGACATACTCGGCTATCGCTCTGCAGTGCGCTCAGCTCAGCAGAACCTAACAAACTGTTACCATAGAGAACCATTCCTTTGATTTTGACGAACGTGCGCGACGTTCGACTGACTGTGAGTTATGCGTTGCTCAATGTTCTAACAAACCATAGCTTAAAGTATGCAGGACTAGTTTGCAAGTACAAGCCGGCTTTTTCATAATCCGTTCATAAACTAGTCCAATGTATTTGATGCACTCGCTCCGTTAGCTGCTTGTATACTCGTACCATGTATTTGAGCCTTGAAGATTATCACAGGGCTAAAATAACGAGAGGATGTGAAGACTTCTTTCATTAATCTTAATATACTCATCCTGTCCTCGCAATACATATTAATGAGGCGGCTATATTTTCTTTAGAATTCCAATCTCTCCCTCCCTCTCTCTGACGCCGATGGCGGTACAGCCCAAATCGAGCCTTGCCCTCCTCCAAACTATGCCTACAACCTTGCGCTGATTTTCTACGGGTTCTCACGTCTATCAAATTTTGCGTGCCCGCTGCCACTTCATCCTCCCACCTTTTCATACCACAAAATATAGAACATTCATCACTTTGACGCAAAATAGAGAATTGACTTTCTGCGGCTCAAGAACTCATGGAATGCTACTCGTCATTATGCACCAGCAGTCTTAATATAACGCCACGAAAAATAAGACTATTACCCATCAGATCTAACTGTAGTTCTAGACTTACAATGGTATTAATTTGCCATATTATTGCACTGCCACCATGCTTATTTGAATTTCTACATATAAGATGATATAAGTTTGAAGTTCATGGTATTGTAGTAATACCAAGTAACATTGATCAATTTCTTCATCGGAGTTGGACAACCCGGAGATTAAATCACTTCTGGATTTCATTTTTTGCAAATTTGCAGCAATTATTTATATTATATGCTCTGTCGCATCTTAAATTCTGTCGCTATTCTATTGTATTATATAGTTGTGTTTATCAATAGATTACATCCATCAAACTGTCAATCCAACCATTCTTCTATACCATCCATCATTAGTTTAAATTTACCTTCCATTTAAGATTTACCATCCTCCAGAAATGGATGGATGGTTTTGACTGGATGGTTGCCACTCTTGACTTACTGTATTATATTACTTGCAGGATCTGTAATCATTCAACTGCTTTTATATGGGACCAACTTATGCAAAATGTTAGATCAAGGATAGAGGTACAAAATATAAGAAACAACATTTTAGTACAGCATCTACATGAAAATGGTTTAAGTTTGAACAAGATGGTAAGTTTGTTATATAAAATTTATATTTAAAAGTTAATTAATAAATTCAAACAAGGATACAACCAAATTTTTGAAAAAAGCTTAGACTCCATAATTAATTTTGTAATTTTATGTTCTACTATTTATAAGTTTATTGACATTGACTCTACATTGAATACAGAGTGCAATTACTGATAAGCAAGTGTGTTTTTATGTTCAAAATTGTAGAAACTTGTGTTAACAACAGACTTTTGGAATATTTAGTTGCTATCGAGTCAAAGCTCGATAGCTATCAACCGGTAGAGCAAGCAGGATTCCGAAAAGGTTACAGTATAGCGGATCATCTTCTTACAGTCAGAACGCTAATAGAGAAAGCCAATGAATATCACTTGAACTTATACATTGGCTTCGTTGATTATGAAAAGTCATACGACTCCATATAATTTTTGACAATAGAGAGAGCTACGAACAATTGCAGGATATACTCCCAATACAGAATGCTCATACATAATATTTACAAGAAAGCTACAACGAAAATACAAATAGATGCGAAAACCAAAGCTATACCAATCACCAGAGGAGTTCGCCAGAGAGATGTTATCTACCAAAACTATTCACACTTGGACTGGAAGATGTGTTCAAAGACATGAACTGGGCAGATAAAGGAATAAATGTTAATGGAAGAAAATATATATACATATTACATACAATATCAAAAAGTAATATAAAAAAATAATAAAAAAAAATTAAAATAAAAAAAAATATAAATAAAAAAAAATCACAAACAAACAAAAAAAGAATTGTCAAAACAAGTCAATTCTTAAATTTACTTTTAACTTATATTTAGTACTAACTCGAACTCTGATTGTTGTTCTGTGAATACAAATTACAAAATAGTCTGGTCAATTGGCTACGCCATGGCCATTAAAAAAAAGAAGAAAAAAAGGAGAAAGAAGAAAACTGAGTCATTTGAGATACACTGATGACAATGTGATATTCGCTACCAGTTTCGAAGAACCACAGACCATGATGTCGCAACTATTATAAAGCTAAAGTAAAAAATAATGACAAATACACCGAACATTAGAGAAATAACGTTGGATTACAAAAATTTAGAAACAGTAAGCGAATACATTTACCTGGGAGAGATAATGAAAGTTCACAAAGCACATCAAACTGCCGAAATTACCAGAAGAATAAGATTAGCGTGGGCAGGTTTTGGAAAACTGAGTTGGATCTGGAAAAGCACTAAAATAGACACAATTTTTGAAAACCAGAATTTACGATCAGTATTCTCCCTATACTCACGTATGGTTCACAGACGTGGAAACTCACTGAGTCTAATATGGATAAAATAGTAAAAGCACAAAGAGCGATGGAAAGATCAATGCTCGGGGTGAGACTTAGACAAAAAAACAAACAATTGGATTAAAAGCAAAACCAAAGTAGAAGACGCAGGAGAACATGCTGCCAATTTAAAATGGAGCTTCGCAGGACACAATGCCCGATTGAAGGATAAAAGATGGAACCACGAAATACAACAATGGAGACCATAGTTACGAAAGAGAAGCAGAGGAAGACCACAAATTAGATGGGCTGATGACCTTAAGAAGATCGGAGGACACAACTGGAAGCAAGTGGCGCAAAATAGAAGACACTGGATTGATTTAGGGGAGGCCTATGTCCAAAGTTGGATTAGTTAAGGCTGAAGAGAGAGACACAATGTACATCCTTGATCATGTTTTACCTTACGCCGGCTTCAGTGGGTTCGATGATTTAGTACTAATGCATGATAATGCTTTTGAACATGCCGTAAGAACAGTAACCTAGTATCTTGAGACTGTTGGCGTTGAGACCATGATTTATATTTTTTTATATTTGCAAAAACTGTGGTCATCTGTCTATAGGGTATCTATGGGACATTCTAAAGCGACGTATATGGAATAGAAACCCATCTTCTTTCTCGATTGCAGAAATACGATTGGCTGCACAGGAAGAATGGTTCGAATTCCGCAGCAACCATTCAAGAATTTCTGAGGAGCGTATCTAGGAGGATTGCATTGTGAGAGCTAGAAGAGACAATAGTAAATGCTAAATTATTATTAATGATTTTTTATTTGGTTGTTAATTATTGAAGTTTTCCGTTTACATTTGTTGATCGTTACTATTTTGATTAAAATTGGGTCAATGGAAACTGCTGGCCAAAGAAGTATTGAAATGGACCACATGATTGTAAGATCTTTCTCTTCTTGTTTCTTCTCTGTTTAATGTCATGCCATTTCATATGCTTCATTACGAACTTTATTGTGCTTTCCATAGGCTTATGTTCTTTTCGGTGCATATTCCAATTAAGCCAAGTGTGCTTTTCTTGTTTGAATTTCTATTTTTTTCCCAAGAGCTTTTTGCTGTTGCTTTTAATTTTTTCCCAACTGTCGTTTATAACTTGCTCTTTCACTTCGTTGTTTTATTTTTTGTTCTAGTCTGGACTGATATAATTTTTTTAAAATATTTATATGCTTTAAAATTTGTTTGTCAATAAATGGAATATTATTGTTATTAGTCTCCTCTTCTATCCTGTCCTATATTGGAGTATGGTGGTTCAGAATTCTGTATTCCCACAGATGTTCGCAAATATTTCTAATGTCTTCTGTCAATAATTGTCTCTGTAACTCATATTTTGAATGGAACATATTACTTTATTTTGGTTGTATCGTATGTTTCTTTTAGTATGTATTTAAAATATTATGATATTTAATAAAATTATTTTAGGATACATCACAGTGTAATTTGATAGAAATTAATACATACTTAACAAAGGAAGAACTAAAAAATGATTTAGAAAAAATTAACAATTCAATATCAGAAAAGCAAACAATTAACGAAAGTTTGATTCGACAAAATAAACTTAAAAGTAAGTTTGTTAAATAAGTAGGTATACCATTTTTAAAAGTAAAAACATTGCACGTCTCGATTTATATAAAGTGACGTCACTTGTGTTTAAAATTTGCAGAACATCAACCTTAGAGCTCAAATTTCCCTAACGCGGCTAATAATACGACACCCACACTAAACTGCTCGATCTTTCATAGGCGTTAGCATTTTAGAATTATATTGATTAAGTAACCAAAAACATTTATTATTAATAATAATATAATTTTTATGAAATAACTCTTTAAGTTTAATATTCCACAAAATAATAATTTTAATAAATTAGATTAGACACTCGTACACCACTTATACGGGAATACTTCATATTTAAATGACAGTTCAGCGTTTGGTAAAATTGTTTAAAGTGTTGCCGCTTTTTTAGAGTAAGAATTTTGTTTATGTTTTGATTTCTCCCATAATTTGATTCACAATATATTATATATTAATACATTTTATTTATAAATACATATTAAATTTAGCTTAATAGCTTTAAAAACTAATTATTGTTGTGTATTGTGATTGTGCTATGCCAAAAACAACTGAATAGTCTGTAGAAAACTGATAAGCTTTAATAGATTATTTTGAACAAAAAATAATTCCCTTACTAAATGCTCTAAAAGAAGTAAGTTAAAATTTAGAATATATAATTTTGTATTAAAATGTGTTTTAGTGTGTTGCAGTAGTCTTGAAACTAAGTGTATCTACTGTTAATAATATTTCTCAAAAATAATGAACAAGTGTGTTGCAGTAGTCTTGAAACTAAGTGTATCTACTGTTAATAATATTTCTCAAGCTGTTAAAAATAATGAACTTTTAAAATTAATTTTTAAAATGTGATTATTTTCTTTATTTTAAAAATCCAATTGACTAGTGTATTGTATTCTTAAATAGTTAACATTTTAAAAATTCCTCACTTTTTAACTATTCTGATGTTTTGGCAACATGTGGGGTTCTGACGTCGTAAATCATGAATGACGTGCACTCATTTTTACATGAAAAATTCTATATGTTGGGTATTATGTATATAAAAACCATTTTTTATTTAATTTTATATATATATTTTTTTTCAAGTTCAAATGTATTTTTTTTTATTTTTAAAGTGGACCGGAAATTGTTATTAATTGAAAAAATGCCTTAATTAGTGATTTTTGGATTTTTTTTGTAAAAAACTACTAAATGAATTGCAATTCTATAAAAAGCTTTATAATCTTTAAACCTTTAACTACAAGGAAGAATATTTTGACAAGGATAAATGGTTTATATCTTGCTGAAAACGCAATGTTCTATACCTCTTCTTTTTAGAGGTATAGAACAGTGGTTCTCAACCGGTGTTCCGCGGAACACTAGTGTTCCGCGAATTCCTTTCAAGTGTTCCGCGAAATACTCGCAATCCTACATACCATTTTGCTAAATTACTCTTTTCAAATAAATATTTTCAAATTTTAAAATAGCCACTTACGTACATTTTAATTTAATAAAATTCTGCAGAGTAAATGTTCATTTGCCCAACGTGACAACACCGCGTCGGCACAGTGCACACGTTGGATTTTATAAGCGCTGAGCGCTGACCTCCGCAGTGGCCACAGCCAATCTGAGTCACTCACGCCACAGTCTGCAACTGAATGTTGAATTTGTTATATACATTGCACAAACGTAATACGTGAAAATCGCTGTGTCAGTTTTTTTATGATAACGTTTACGTACGGCTTATCTATCAAAGGTAAGTAATTGCACATTTTATACAAAATGTGAAGCATTCATCCGCATTATTTTGTTTAGAGACGAATAAATTAAAATGGATAAGTTCCTCAAACTTAAAAGAAAAACTACTGTGGAACAACTCATAATTAATGATGATGAAGCGAGCACCAGCGGAGATACTGGAACTTTACGAAGTGGGGTTGATGACAAATCGAAGCGCAGCAAAAAAATGTTGAACCGGCAATATTTGGATGAATATTTGGATTATGGCTTCATTTGGACTGGGGAAGAAGACTGTCCAATTCCCAAGTGTATTGTTTGTGGGCAGACACTCGCTAATAGCGCAATGGCTCCGGCTAAATTAAAACGCCATTTTACTACCAAACACGCTAGTGTAGCTTCAAAAAATAAAGATTATTTCAAGCGACTTTTGGAGACACAAGCTAAACAAGCGAAACAATTTGAAAGGTCGCTAACAATTTCCGACAAAGCACAAATAGCTTCATATAAGGTCGCCGAATTAATTGCTTTGAAACAGAAACCACACACTGTTGCAGAATCTCTTATATTACCAGCATGTTGTGAGATGGTCAAAATTATGTTTGGCAACGATGCACAAAACGAAATACGGAAAATTCCTATGTCGGATGATACAATAAGAAGGAGGATTGTTGATTTATCTGCAGATATTGAGGAAAAAGTTACAAATAAACTTTACAAAAAAAACTTCGCATTGCAGGTGGACGACTCCACTGATATTAGTGGCAAAGCTCATTTATTAGGATTTATTCGATTTGTCGACGAAGGTGAAATAGTCAATCAGTTTTTATGCTGCAGAGAACTTACAGCACGTACAACAGGTCAGGATGTATTTGATTCCATACCGTCATATTTAGAGAAAAAAAATATATCATGGGACTTTTGCGTAGGAATTTGTACGGATGGTGCCCCTTCCATGGTAGACTCCATAAAAGGTTTTTGTACCCTTGCAAAAAAGCGAAATGAAAATATCATATCTACGCACTGTTTCTTGCATAGCGAATCTCTAATTTCAAAAACGCTACCAGCTACTTTGAAATCTGTATTAGACCAAGTGGTTAATGTCGTGAATTACATCAAATCAAGACCACTAAAAACCCGTCTTTTTAAACAACTCTGCATCTCAATGGAATCAAAGTATGAATGTTTGTTGCTGCACACCGAAGTTAGATGGTTGTCAAGGGGCAAAGTATTATGTCGAATTTATGAACTTAGAACGGAGCTGTTGACTCTTTTCCAAGAAGAAGGTAATGACACATTTACCACATATTTTGAAAATGATGCATGGTGCACTAAAGTGGCGTATTTGGCCGATATTTTTAATTATTTAAATGGCGTTAACTCAAGTATGCAAGGCAAAAATGAAAATATTTTAACATCCACGGACAAGCTGTCAGCTTTCCAGAAAAAATTGTCATTTTGAAAGAAGCGCAATTTAGAGACAAATAAAATGGATATGTTTCCACTGCTTCAGAATGAAGGTGATGAAGATAAAGAACAAGAAATCACGCATATAGTTACAGAACACTTATCACTATTAGAGGAGACAATTGCCAGGTATTTTCCATCTCTGACCGTAGAAAAATATGACTGGATAAGTCCTTTTAGCACAAGTAATACAGCCAATTTCCATTTTCTCTGAACCAAGAAGAAGAATTTATTTCGTTGTCATCTAATCGTACTCTGAAAATTAAGTTTTCAGAAGTGAATGTTCAGGAATTTTGGATCTTGGTCCAAGAGGAATATCCACTTCTTGCCAAAAAAGCGATTAGTATTTTAATACAGTTTTCAACGTCCTATTTATGTAAATTTGGGTTCTCATCTTTAACAAACATTAAAAATAAGAAACGGGAGAGGCTGCTAAACTTAGAACAAGAAATGAGAGTAGCTCTTTCCCTCATGAGGCCTGATATTGAGCAAATTTGCAAACGACACCAGGCACAAGTGTCTCACTAATTTGAAGTATTTACTCATATGATGTATTTTGAGAATTACGCTTTTGTTAATTTTAAAAATGTTTTTTGTTTTCATATTTTAAGTAAAATTTTACAAATTTGAGTACGTATAATAAAGTTTATTACAGAATTTATGTGCTAATCCTAATTTGTTTATCAATATATGCATGTTATTGCTTTGGTGTTCCGCAATTTTTTCGGTAATTAAAAGTGTTCCGTCGCCACAAAAAGGTTGAGAACCACTGGTATAGAACATTGAAATGGAATGAAATAAAGATGATTTTTATAAATTGAAATAAAATTGACTTTTTTCGAAAGATAATCTTTTGGCATTATAATTTAAATATGATTTCTGGCATATGACCCTCATGGCTGGCTCTGACGTAGTCTAATCTAGAGGTCCAATTTTCGATCACTTTTTCCAATATTTGTCGCCGTATATCGGCAATAACGTGGCGAATGTTGCCCTTAAATTGATCAATCGTTTTATGCTTATCGGCGTAGACTAGCACCTTCACATATCCACACATAAAATAGTCTAGCAGTGTTAAATCGCACGATCTTGGAGGCGAATTTTCGGTGGTAAAACGTGAAACTATGCGGTTACCAAACGTTTCTTTCAATAAATCAATGTGTCACGAGTTTTGTGACATGTTGTGCCGTCTTATTGATACAACAGCTCCTGCACCTCATGGTTGTTCAATTGGAGAATGAATATATATATATATATAATCGGTTTTAAAACGTCCTCCGACGTCTTCCGATGCCCAATCTCCATGCATCTCTATCTTCGCAAAGATCTTCGTCTAAACCTCTCTCTCGGATCTCTCTGTCTATTCCTTCTCTCCAGCTCTTTCTGGGTCGGCCTCTTTTTCTCTTTCCATGTGGTGACCAATCTATAATCTGTTTGGGCAGACGATGTTCTGGCATTCTCTGCACATGTCCATACCACTTTAGTTGTTGTACTCTTATATCTTCGACAATCGTATGTGTGACTCCCATAACCTCTCGTATACGTTCGTTATTAATTCTTTCGAGTTTTGATTTTCCTGCGGCCCGTCTCCATGGCTTGTAGTGTTCTTTCAGTAGTTGCCTTTAACTGCCACACGTTACTTCCATACATTACTATGCTCTTTATAATAGTGTTGTATATTCGATGTTTATTTTTTTTTGGATATATGTTGATCCCAGATAATACTATTTAGTTGAGAAATGGCCCTTCTACCCTGAGTGTTTCGTTTTTTTATAACCTGATCTGATTTGCCGTCGTCTATGATTTCTACTCCTAAATAGGAATATTTATTGTTGTACTTAATGTGTTGTCCGTCGTTTAAAACTAGATTTTGTTCTTTACCACCGATGTTCATGTACATTGTTTTATCTATGTTGACTTCTAATCCCCATTTTTTGTATTCTTCGATTAATTTTCGAGTCATGTATTCTAGGTCGTCATATTCGTTAGCAATCACAATTTGATCATCAGCAAAACATAGAGTGTACAGGTTGTTATTGTTTAATTGTATACCCATGCCGCTGCATTTCCGCTTCCAGAGTTTTAATGCTTGTTCCAGAGAATGAAAATGGAGAATGAAAAAGGCAGTAATCATGGCTCTATAGCGGTCACTATTGACTGTAACGTTCTGGCTAGTATCGTTTATGAAGAAGTACGATCCAATGATTCCACCAGACCATAAAGCACTCCAAACAGTCAGTTTTTCTGGATGTAATAGTATCTCAACATATATGCGAGGATTATCAACTCCAAATAGGACAGTTTCGTGTTTTCAACATTCAACCAAAAGTGAGCTTCATCGCTAAATAAAATTCGCTTATGAAAATCGGAATCAACGGCAATCTCGTTTTGGATTCACTCACTCTATCTACGAATCTACGCCTTGCTAGGTGATGATGAATTCAATTCAATCTTTCTTCAATTCAATCTTCGATTCAATCTCAATTCTTGCATGAGTTGAAGTTCAACTTCTGTACGGGATGGCAGATAGACTGGTTCGCGTCTTCCTGTATGCTACACTCTACAGCAGCAACAAGTTCTTCTGTACGACTGTGTCTGTGGATGCATATTATCAGTTGCTCTTATGAGTATTAAGTTGACCATAAAATGATGGACGTAGTGCGCGATACGTATTTAGAACAAAACCACAATTTTCAAAATAAATTTGTACAATTTGAAAGCGTTGTTGAGGTGTCAAGTCTATTTATGTCAAAATAGACTTAAACCGAACTTAACATAAATCACTTGACAGCTGTCAAAATGGCCGACAGTTAAAAAAGTGTTACCAACTAACCAACATTTCTATACCTCTAAAAAAACACCCTTTACATTATCAGTTAAAATCGTATTTTTGCTTGTATTCGACAGTTTTATTTATTTATTTATTGCTAATTTACAATCTACTTCGATAAATAATAAGTAAATACGATTTATGTTCTTGCTTGTGGCAGGTGTCGTCAATTGACGACTCTCTGGAATTTACCTAGCAGCTAGGTCTTCTGGCCAAAGTCTTTTTAGACGTCTGTCAACCAGTGGGGGGTTGAATAATTCGTCTATGAGATGGTTTGGATGGTCTTCGCTGCGATTTATGTATCTTCTGGAGTGGTTAACAATCACATCATTGATAAAGGGGATGTTAGGTCTGCAAGGGTTTTGGTTTGATACATACCATGGGGCTTTAACTAACATACGAATAGTTTTTGACTAGAATGTTTGTAGTATTTTGGTGTTGGAGGTTTGCTACAGCCCCACAGCTCAATTTCGTATGTCCACACTGGTTTGAGTATTGTTTTATAGATGGTCAGTTTGTTTTTTAATGAAAGTTGCGATCTTCTGTTGATTAGCCAGCTCATATTTTTAACTTTTAGGTCGAGGTGTCGTCGTTTGGCGTGATGTGATTTCCAATTAAGTTTTTCGTCTAGTTGAAGGCCCAGCTACTTTACTTCTGTTTTTATTGGTATAGGTGAAATATTTAGGTATAGTTGTAGACATCTAATTCTTCGATTTGTGAAATTTACTTGACAAGACTTGTTTGTGTTGACGTTTATTTTCCAGCATTTAAGCCAGTCTTCTAGTTCATTGAGATGATTTTGCAATTTGTTAAATGCTAATATTTAGCTGATGCTAGTATACCAGTGTCATCTGCAAATGTTACCATTAGTGTATTTTCGCTAATAGGAATATCAGCAGTGAAGATTAGGTAAAAGAATGGACCAAGTACACTGCCTTGAGGTACTCCGGGATTTTATTTGGTGGTAGTTGGATAGAGATTTAAGGATTTGGTCAATTAGCTGAGTTTTTATTTTAAAGAGAAGACCCTCGTGCCACACTCTTTTATTTTGTTGACTAATCTACGGCACTGTTGTATGGTTGAGTGATTTGATCGAAAACCAAACTGATGATCTGGGATAAGGTATTCTATAGGTATTATTGTTTCTATTCTGTTAAGGATTAACCTTTCGAAGACTTTTGATAAAGTCAGAAGGAGATTCATTGGTCTGTACGAACAGGCTTCAGTTAGAGGTTTACCAGATTTAAGTATCGTTATAATTTGTGCATACTTCCATTGCACTGGAAAATAGTATAGTCTCAGGAGGCTATTAAAAATAATGGTTATTAAGACGATACCTTTTCTTGGGAGTTTTTTTTTAAGATTTCGCCAGGTATAAGGTCAAATCTTGGAGCTTTATGAGGGTTAAGCAGGTTGATTTCGTTACGGACTTTGTTTGATGAGAAGTATTTTAGTGGTAATGATAGCTGACAGGGTGCATTAAGGAAGTTTCTAATTTTCTCGTCGTTAATATCGTTGGCCTGTGGGGTGGAGAAGACGGTTGATAGATGTTCTGCAAATCTGTTGTATTGTTCTATATCTGATCGAGCCCAGGTTCCATAATTTTTCCTAATTGGTGATTTCATTACTACCGGTTTTTTGAATTCCTTTGTGGCTTTCCAAAGAGAGTTGTCGTCAAGAGAAAGGTTTGGGACATATCTTTCAAAGGATTCGTTTTTGGCTGTTTGGATAGCGGAATGAAGTGTGTGTGTGTGAGCCTGTTTAGATTTGTTTTATCTATCACGTTTCTTGTTCTTTGCCATTTGCGATGGGCTCTTCTTCTCTCTTCTACTAGTGTTCTAATGTGAAGGGGAATACTATACCTTTCATCAATGGTTTTTTCCTTTACAGGAGGATCTTTCCAAGCGGCCTCTTGTATTTGTTCCGTTAGATATTTTACAGTTTCTTCAATATCGTTTTTGTGTTTGAATCGAATGTCAAGAGATATTTTTTCATTGATTTCTCTCGTGTTACTGGAACATAGCCTTGGAGCAAGAGTTTTCCAAATTATATTGGTACTTAAGGTAATCAAGATGGGACTGTGGTCCGAATGTAGATCAAAACTGGGGTGATGTCGATGTGTATTTCAGGTATTCCCTTAGTTATAGCAAAGTCTAACAGATCAGGAATTTTGTTGTTTTCAGTTGGCCAGTATGTGAGGGTACCCGTTGTTAGGTATTTCAGGTTATTATCTTGTATGATCTTTAATAGATTTATGCCTTTTGGAGATATCAGTCTTGCTCTCCAGGTTGAATGTTTTGCATTCCAGTCCCTGCCACTAGCAAATGTGAGCCAAGTTGTTAAAAAAACTCTCTGTATTCCCCCAGATTGATGGTATGGCGTGGTGAGCTGTAGATAGAAGCTATTGTTAATGGGAAGGTGAGCGCATGCACTTTTATGATAGTACTTTGAATTTTGTTGGTGATATATGGAGCAAGTTCGTAGTGTTTTATAGCTGTACGAATTATTACTACTGAACCAGCATGGGCTGTTCCATCTGGATGGTTTGCGTAATAGACAGAGTAGTGTGGAATTTTTATAAAAGACCTCTCATTTGTGTGACTCTCAGATATAAGTAGGATGTCTATTTTGTTTAATTTTAGAAATAGTCTAATTTCTTGCACATGGTTTGTTAGACCATTTGCGTTCCCCCTGCTATTCTAAGTGAGTTAACCATTACGACGTTCTATTTATCACTGTTGTAAGCATGCTTAGTATCATGCTGTTTTAGTTTATCAATTGTGCAAACATTTTTAATTCGTTGAGGAATTCTGTAAGTTTATTTGAAAGGTCTGAATGATTGTTTTTGTCTTGTGAAGACATATTAGTTGTTGCAACTTGAGCATATGTTACATGTGATTGGCGTATGTGGTGAGCATTAGTGTTATTATTATTTAGGCTTGCAACTCTAGGTATAGGAATGCTGCTTGTTATATTTTTATTTTTCGAATTTACTAGGTCTTTATATATTTGACTGGTTCTGGTTATTTATTGTTGGGACATCTTGTGTAGTATTCATTTGTTGATAAATTGGTTGTATATTATTATCAAATCCTAATAAGTTTCCTAAAGGAAATATATTTCTTTTGTCTGTTTCACCAATCAGTTAGTTTTTGTTACTTTTCACTTTAGCAATTTTTTGATGGTGATAAGATAATTACTAGTTAATTAGGTAGTTTTACGATAAGGAAGTTCTCTAGCGCTTTGAATGACAGTACATGTTCACGCTTCGAGAATCAGATTACTACTGTATTCGAAATATTGGGAGAATTTGATATTAACGTTTAAGTCAAAGCTTTCATCCCTAATCCAAAATGCGCTATTTCGTGAAATGTACTGTACACAATAATTACATATTTTTAAGTTTCACAAATTACTGCACTAGTTTTTTTTCTGGAGGTATTTCCAATAATTTTCTGTGAGTGTATATATATTTTAGGGTTTTCTATCGAAAAATCAAAATTGAAAATTAAAGAAAACGAAGAAAGGGAATATCTTCTTCGACAAAAACTCAATATATTAGAAAAGGATGTACAAGATGCTGAAAATATTTATAATTTTTCCATGAATCCAAATGTAATCGTCAATTATGAATCAGTAAACTCAAAAGATATTACGGTAATTTTTTTCATTTAATATACTTCTTTTATAAAGTAGGTCTTTCATTTCCTGGATGAATTTCAGTGTGCTGAGAAAACTACTAATTTTAATAATTCATTCAACACGTAGAAAACCAGCTTTGTATGTAAGCATTGAATATGCATTGAACACAATATTGTATTCAATAATTTAATTGATAAATAGATTATTTCTAATAAATGTACCTTTCCAGGAAATCCTACAAACATGTGAAAATAAATTGGAAGAAAAGGTTCAAAGGTTACCGGCACCCATAAAACAATCTTCAGAAGAAACGGTAAATAGATGGATGATGACTGCACAGAAAACCGTAAAAAAAACTAATATGTTCGAAAAGTATTTATGTTTCACAGAAAAACAAACGTCTAAAAAAATGAAAAGATATGCGAAAAGTAAAGAAAACCTTCCTCCGAATAAAATTAACATGTGCTTGTTTCCAGATGACGATAACATGCAAATAATAAACAAAAGGAATGTGTCTGCGAGACGGGAATCTCTTGAAATGTGCATGGAAGAAAACGACGATGAAAATTTTTTAATCAAACTTGATGTACCCAAATATACACACTATTCAATTAATCAAACATACAGAGATGAAACAATATTGAATCACACAAAATGTGGTTTGAAACAACAACCGAGTATCAGTGTAGAAGCAGTGTCTGATGAAAGTGTTAGTAATGACATTAAAGATTTAATTAGCACGTGCAATCGTCAGAGTATATGGAATATATTTCGCGTACTTGATGACAGTCTTCATTTTAATATATCGAAAAAAATCAATTTTAGAAATGCTCAGTTTGCCAAGTAAGTAAATAACAAATATACTCGTTGTTTTTTGCATCTTTATTATCGAAATATTCGGTTTAACGCCCTATTTTTTGAGTATGAACACTATTTTCAATTATTCATTAGGATACCATTCAACATATTCCACAACAGTTATGTTCACTGTTCTAACTTGGTCTTACTTGTATTATTGTTAGTGATTGTCTTTTAGGTCTTGCTATTAGAAGATACGAAATAGAGTTTTGGGTGTGCTTATATTTGTATGCAATTATAATTCGCATAACGATATCAATTTAAAGATGGTAGAACTATTCTTAAATCATGTAAATTTTTATTGGGTAGTTGTCACCATTTGATCAGTCGGGTTTCTCTTCTTTGAACACTCTAATAGCTGATTTTTAAGGGTGGGTTTTAGGGTTGTTAGCTTTTAAGTCCGTTTTACAGCTTGCAATTATACCATCGAATTAGATTCTAACTCGATGAATTATACCTACAAGACGCAAGAAGGTTTCCTAAAGGCATGCGCAGGACGTCGTCAGCTGATTATTTCCTTAACTTCTTGCAATTGCGGGGTAATCGGTTTGGTGCCATTTTCTCTGCAAGTTTTCATGCTAGTCTAGGGGAATTTGTACGAAGTTTGATTTTTCCAGAATGTCAAATGTTATAATCACTGATTGACACGGATTTATAATATAATAGTCTTGGCCTTTCGAAATTTACTAAATAGTGTTAAATAAACAACAATAAGTAATTTAAAAAAAAGTTTATAAGTTAAATCGCACATAAGACCTTGCAATAGACTTGCATCAAAGTTAGTCATGCAAGAAATTGCAATAAGTTTTCTTGCGAGCTATAAAGCGATCTTTAGCCCAATCCCCAACCTGGAGGATAGGAATATGATGTCGAGGTTTATTGCCTTAGCCGATTAGTTCCAGTTTTAAGAGCATCAGCGCGCCATCAAGACGGAAAACGCGTTCCAAGGTTGCAGCTTTAATTTTGAATATTTTGTCGAGATGTTTGGCACACATATACGTAATTTAGTAAAGAATTGTGGTGCAGAGCCCAATTTGAGAAATATATAGTATGTGGAAATTACTCTATAATTAAATAAAATATTACAAAAACGAGTCTGTACCGCCATTAAGAAAAACAAAAAAATAAACTTTCAAATAAACTTTTTTATCCCATGCCTAGATTTTTGTGTCACATTGGAATTACTAAAATCGATTATCTGTAACAAGAAATCGAACTTAACTGAGTGATTTGGCAACATAGAGAAATAGTCACCGCCATCATATTTGCACACCTACGTCTGTTTTCTGTGTAAGTGGTAGCCCGATTGTGCTGTGTTATCTGTATCGATATCTGTTCATGCAGTAGTGTATTATTTTCTAAGATATTGGAATTCGTTAGTGTTGATTAATACTGAAGTAATGTTTAATTAAAATTTATTTATTAAAAATATTTTAATTAAATAAATTAATTAATAATTAACAATTTATTTTAGTATTCTGCCTGAACCTGTAAGTGGCCGAGGGATAATAGACATTGGCTATTTTTTTCAACAAATTTTTAGTTCAGAAAATCATAAGCTATTCAATTGCAATATTACAAATATGGAAGTAATTCAAGAAATTAAAAAAGGTTTCATGTCAACTTTTACGCTAAAATGTAAAATGTGTAATGTTAACACAGCAGATATATTCTGAAAATCCTCAAAATGGGACATCTGAAGACATGGACATTAACTCAGCAATTACACTGGGAACTGTGTCAACTGGAAATGGGTTTTTCACGTTACAAGAATTATCTGCTGCCATCAACATGCCGTATATGGCAGAAAACACGTATAGTAATGATCACGAAAATGTGTCAAAACTAATTAGATCTACCAATTTCAAAGTTATGCGGCAAGCTGGTCAAGAAAAAGCAAGACTAACAACAAGTTTAAGGGAAATTGACGAAAATTACAATTATAATGCTGCTTCTGAAGTTATAAGTACAGTTATTATTTTATTACTAACTTAATCAAGCGTTCAAATAATGCACATGGTCAATAAGATGTGTACAATTTGTTACTAGTATTTTTTATACTCTTCTAGGCTTGCATCATTGGATATCACACTGGTAAACTTTTGTATTTAGGAGTACGGAACAAATACTGCAGTTTTTGTGAATTTCACATAAATTAAAATAGTACAGTACCTACACACAACTGTGTTAAAAACTGGACTGGAACATCCAATGCAATGGAAGCAGACATTATTATAGAAGGGTTTTATTACAGGGAATATTAGGGGAGGGAATATTACAAAGTTTAGAAACTCATGAACTAAAATATACCTACAATCTTGGTTAACGATGGTGATAGTTCAGTTTACAGCAAATTATTACGGACAAAACCGTATGGCCCTCAAACAATAATTATTCAAAAGGTTGAATGTCGCAATCATCTGTTGAGGAATGTTTCGTCAAATCTTCGGGAAATACCTAGTAAGCTAATGTTAAATTTAATTTTAATTAAAATTAATTTTATATATTTTATTCAATAAGCTGCAGAGAAGGTTTTTGTATGTTCTTTATACCAATAACGGTGATTCCATTTTCTTTTAGAAAGAAAAAGGAGTTCGTCAACTAATATGGAAGTACCGGTGGCTTTGCATAAATAAGTTGAAATCAACGCTAAACGCTTAAGATTTTGTGTCAGTAAAGTGCTTAAATTTAGGTTATCAAAAAAACATGATTATCAAAATTAAATATCCCTTCACATGTCTTTGGCGAGCATGAAAGATGTCCTGAAATCCAGTATTTCAGCTGTGTCAAAAAGCCAGATAATATTAATTTTGTGCCGGCAATGAAAGAATCTGGTTTGTACAGAGATGTACAAATTCTTATGAACAGATTAATTCTTAATTTTGATAGCGTAGTCAGTAACATGGATAATAATTTGGCTGAACACTACAATTCTACAGCATCTAAATGTGTTGGGGGTAAAAGGGTAAATTTGTTAAAGAGAGGATCATATCAGACGAGGTGTGAAGTTGCTGCAATTTCGTATAATGCTGGATGGACTATTACTCTATAATTACGGAAACGCCATTGAGCGAACGGCGAAATATTTTTACAAATAAACATATACAAAAAATGAATTAACGAACAAAACTTTCTGCTAAACTAAAAAGTGATATAAAAGCTCGTCGTCAAATGTTGCGTAATAAAAAAAGCCGAAACGGTTGCTTCCGCTGACGGATACTATGGAGCTACAATTCAGTCTCAACCCGATAAGGACTCAAAAACCAAAAGAACAAATAATGGATATAGAGAAAACAGCCCGAGGTCAGTGGTTTTCATTTCAGTGGCTCGAAGAAAGACAGAAAAGAATCACTGCATCACATTTTGGCAAAATTTGTAAATTAAAATCTACCACTTCTAGGTCAAGGACAGTCTGCAGTTTGATGTTTTAAATTTAAAGGTATCGAAAATACTAAATATTAACAAATACAATATTTTGTCTTTTGCTTAGATGTCTTTTGCAATAGAAGCATTTGAGACCAAGATGAATTGTAAAATAAATAAATGTGGATTATTTATTGATGAAGAACATTGTTTTCTTGGAGCCAAGTCCAGACGGGTTAGTGGGTGAAGATACTTTAACTTAAATTAAATGTTCCCCTTCCATAAAATCTATGACTACTGAAGCAGCTGTAGAGAAAAAAACTGCCTTATCTTCAGTCACAAAACCATAAATTGAATTAAATGCAATCATGACTACTATTACCAGATTCAGGGTCAGTTGCATATCGTAAAAAGAGAGAAATGTTATTTTGTAGTTTGGGCGCCACATCTTTTGTGTGTTTGATGTGAATAATCTGCTGCCAGAACTAGTAGATCCAAGACAATCGCGTAGCTTACCTATTATGGAAGGATAATTTCACAGATATACACGTTCTAGGATCTATAGCAATAATGTTTTTGTAGAACCATAAATTTGAACGTTAAATTAATGAATATTTTCAAAAATTTGCGGCAAACATGTACTTCCTAGAAGTCACAACTTTTATCGTATTTAAGTAAAAAGAAAGAATATTCAACTAAATTTTAAATTTATGCAGTGCAATGGTGGATTCAAAAATTGGATATTCTAGTGAAGAAAGACTAAAATTAGTTAAGCTATACTATGAAAATAATCAGTGTGCTAAGGCTGCGGCAAGAATCTTTAAGACGTACCATCCAGAAAAAACGTAATGTGACTTTAACAACTCAAAGAATGAAGTAGACCATCGAAATGAAGTAGTTGAAGTGGCGGTATTTGGTCATTGACAAATGGATAATCGACAGTCTCTCAGACAACTATCTCGTGCATCTGGTCTATGAGCATCTAGTGTGTATCGAATTATAAAATCCTATAAATTTCACCCTTATAAAATACGATTACTTCATCGATTAAACGGAGATGATCCTGATCGTCGACGTCAAATTTGTGAAGAATTTAGTAAATCATAAATAACAACCAACATCGGTTGTACGTGTTTTTTCGATGAGTGTACTTTTATGTTAAATGGTGAAATTAATAAGCATAATTGTCGTTATTGGAGTAACAGCAATCCTCATTTATTCATGGAGACACATACACAAACACCTCAGAAACTAAATCTATGAGTTGGCAATTTTAGAGAATCACGTTATTGGACCATTATGTTTTAAGGAAATCTCAACGGAACAACATTTTTTAGAAGACGTTATTGATCCGCTGATCACTGACACATTGGAATCTGATGATAATCATTTAAAAGATAAACTGCCTTTCCAACAGGACAATGTATCCCCACATTATGATATACGCGTAAGACAATTTTTAAATCAACGTTTTCCAGGGCGTTGGATTGGCAGAAGGGGTCCAATAGAGTGGCCGGCTAGATCACCGGATCTTTCGCATTTGGATTTTTTTTGTGAGGACACCTAATATCAAAAATATACGCCACTCCACCCGTAGAAGTAAATTGGTTAATTTGATCTTTTTTGTTATTACTGATGTTCAACTAATAAATTAGCCAAAATTATCTTCAAAGTTATTTCGTAAATTAAAAATAAAGTATCGTGTAGGGAAAAAAATACCTTTAAAATTATGTGGCACTCGACCACACTTGCTATTTTAAAAAACTGGGGTTGATGCGTGCCAGTAGGGGGTTACATTTGAGGGCATGAATTTTGCATGAAAATTCACCCTCCTCGCAATACAAATTGACGTGTTTTTTTTTAATTTTGAAAAAACTCTTGCTTTCTGAGTTTTTTGGCGGATCAAATTTTTGTTGGAACACACTGTATATTATTATTAAATTTATCACAGGTACTTACTAATTCTTAAGCTAAGATATTTTATACTAATTTACTTAAAAAATGGTTTGTTAAAATGTATATGCTTATGTGTATGCTTTTTTGTATAATAAATAAATAATAAAATATTTTCATAAAATCTTTATGCCTTTTTTGCATTTCTTTATGCTTTTAAATCCGATCCGAACTCGAATTATCACAGTATTGTGCCTTCGTCTTTAATAGTGTCACGTACTGCCGACGCACTATTGCCAAAGATTCCAGAACTTTCGAAAGATGGTGCGCCTACTGTTTCTCGAATTAATATTGATGACGCGCTGATATAGACTCTTAAGGCACCTGAAACTTGCCTTGTACATCTTTCGTTAACTACATGGAGCATACCCATTGTATTACATGCATTACCTAGAGGTCACGACGTAGACGTGCAAGTAGGATTTGTTTATTTGCTTGTGAAAGCTGGGGGCATTTTTCAGAGTTTTGCTATAGCATGGTTATATACTGTTCTGAAGCTATTTTCTTGTGCCATCTTAATGAAATTTACTATTTTTGTTGGGAACAAGCTACAATTTTACTTTAAAATTAAGTTTATTTGACGTTTCGATTTCCACTTCGGAAATTGTTCTAAAAATAGGTACATAATCAGTGGCGGTTCCTTAATAAGGCACTCACACACCTATTTTCATGCAGCCGTCATCATTCGATAATTAATATTTTTATCTAACTATACAGTAATTGAAATCAGAAATCACAGATTTGAACAGTTTATAAGTAATAGGTAATGTTAAAATTATTTTTATTTTATTTCGTCATGCAGAAACTTCACGGGTTCGAGACATAAGACAACCTCCAACCTCCTCTTAAGACGGACTCCAATGACTCGTGTACTTGGCAAGTACACAATTATTTGCCTACTTTTCAAGTACACGAGCGTGAACAGACATGGTGAGTTCTGCTTATTTCATTAAATTAAAAAAAAAAGATGGTGTATGGCTTAAGATACAGAAACTGAAAAAAAATTATATAAATCTTTTTTGTAGATACAGCGCTACCCATATGTTGCAGGATCTCAATCGAGAACCTTTAGGCCATGTTTCCATTAGCGAATCTTTTTTTCTTCAGTTCATTTATAGTGTATTTTACAGATATATTATCATATTCATTTCCAGACATCATTAACTGCATTACAGTTTTTATGTTCTTTATGTTTGGTCATCCAAATGACCGGCTTATTTTTTTATAAAAATCAAGAAACTGCAACCCGTCATTTATCCACTTCATTTCAATTAAAAAACACACACACAAATAAAACTTCTGTATGCTCCTGAGGTCTTTGAAAACTAAATGAATAGTCGCAGTAACTGCCAATTATTTATACATTTCGTTGGAGCGCCTCTGCTAGTATAGATAAGTATGTACTTCGCAAGTGTACGAATAATCGTGGTCCCTTTGACTCGGGTAATTTTTACCGATAACAGATGGAAAACCAACGAGTGATAAATAATTGTACGAGTAACCCACTTACACACAAAGAAAAATTCTATGAAGAACTAGAAGCTGCATAACATTCATGCCCAAAAATGACATCAAAATTATTTATGGTGATATCAACGCAAAAATAGGAAAAGAGCAACAATACCTACCAACTATAGGTAAGCGCATCCTTCATGAGGTATCCAATGACAATGGCATCAGACTAACAAATTCTAGCAACTTCCCTTAATATGGCCATTGCCAGCGCATGCTTCCAGCGAAAAAATATTCATAAGGGAACATGGACATCTCCAGATGGGATTACAGTAAACATGATCGATCATGTTATTATTGACTCTAGATATCACAGACGTAATAAACGTATGCAGCAGACGAGGGGAAAATGCAGACTCAGATCACTACCTAGTGGAAAGTAGAATAAGAGCCAGAATCTCAAACATTAAAAAAGAAAAGGGATCCAAAATTGAAAAATATGAAATAAAAAACTTGGCAGACAACAGCAAAAAGGCAAAATATCAAGAATATATAAAAGGAAGGCTAGAAAACAGACAAAAGCGCGAGGATATAAACAGAGAATGGGAAGCGTATAAGAACATCATACAAGACGCGGCCAAAGAGACCCTGGATCTACAAAAAACGCTCAAATCAACTGAAGGACAGTGGTTAGATGAAGAGTGTCGTAACATACTGTTACGACGAAAAATAATGCATATCAACGACTACAACAACGACATAGAACACGAAAGGCAGAGAAGGAATATAGAATGCTGAGGGAAGAGAAGAAAATACATCGCAGAAAGAAAAGAGAACACAGAAAAATAACTCCAAGAAATGGAAGAACTAAATAAACCATCAGAAACCAGAAAATTCTACCAAAAACTTAACAAAAGTAGTAAATAATTTAAACCAAGAACAATGATGTGCAGAGACAAAGAAGGAGATATAGTAACTTAACAGAGTGAAATACTACAAAGATGAACAGAATTCTTTAAAGAAAAGTTTGAAAAAAACGAAGATCCATTATATGATGGAATTATACTGGATCAAACGGATACCAGAGAAACAACCCCCCTTCAGTAGCTGAAATGCAAGAAGCAGTTACCAGACTGAAAAACAACAAGTTACCTGGATTGGACAACATTAGCGCAGAATTAATAAAGGAAGGTGGAGACTCCCTATTGAATGCGATACACGAACTAATAGTGAACATATGGAATAATAAACAATTGCCACAAGAATTGAATACCGGAGTAATTATCCCACTACATAAAAAGGGAGATCAACTTCAATGTAAAAACTACCGGGCAATAACGCTACTAACTGTGGCCTATAAAATACTGTCAAATATTGTGTAGGACCGATTGAGACCATATGCGAGACAAATAGTTGGGGGATATCAATGTGATTTCTGCAGGCAGAAGTCCACAATAGATCAGATCTTCGTCTTGAGGCAAATCTTGGAAAAGACTAGTGAATTTAATATAGACACACTGATCTTAACTAGGTTAACTGAGAGTTAACCCTAGACTCCAGCACAGATCAGAGGTAATGTAAGTCGATAAAATCTCACCAGCTCCTGGGGGTCATGTTAGATGCTCCCATTTTTAGTTTTAATTAATTATCGAAGTTAACGGTCTATTGCATTTACATTTGTAAATTCCATGAGGATTGTTTTTGTTACTGATGTCCTTCTATTGTTTTTCTGTGGCCAAACATTGTTTTTTAACAACTTTTTTTAAACTGACTATGGAATGATTCAATTCCGAAAAGATCTTCTTTAAAATAAAAGTTTTAAGCTTTTAATAAGCATTTTTTATAGCTTGATAAAACAATACTCTTTACTGTTTTCCGTGTTTACTATTTGGCGATAAGGAATCAGAATGGACAATATTCGGCGTTAAGACTTAATTCATTCATCCAAAAAAATTAAAAAGCATCAACATTCAAAATCACATGTATCTGCAATGTTATCTATTTTTATATCTTATATATAATATGTGTGCACCCTCAATACTTTGTACTACTCACCGCCACTGTACATAACACGAATAAATTAAACAAATTTTGTTTTTGTTGCTTGGTAAAAAATTCTTTTAATTAAAATAAAGTCGCACTAGGAACGCAACTCAAAAATATTGACAATATCATTTTAAAGTTATCTGCTTTAAAATGTATAATATATGTCTGAATAGTCAATATGAATGAGTCAGATAAAATTAAATTATGTATTAGAATTTTGTGTGTTGAGAACGATTTCGAAAGTGGAAATCGAAACATCAAATAAACTTTAATCAATTTTACAGTAAAATTGTGGCTCATCACAAAGAAAAATGATTATACACATTCCTTGTTGCCTACGAGATGCAATACAAGCCATTTGACCTACAATATTTTACTACGAATCAAAAATAATTGTTTCGAGTTTAATTGTGACGTTAGGATGATTATTTCTAAGTTTCATTATACCACCAACCTAAAACCAGGCTAGTTTTTGTGCAGTACCCTTATTCGTCTTAAAGTTTTATTTTAACCACACCGTGTCTAAAAAACATTTATAAATTAAACACATTTTTTAGCACTAAAAATCGCAGACAAGCTGATTTGACTACCCTTCAGTCCCTACATGTTAGAACAGAATTTAGGATAATTAAAAATAATATTTTAATAAAAACGTTAACCCGAAGATTTAATGACAGAATGGCCAAAATGAATGTAAGTAATTTTTTAATATACCAATATAATTTTGTGGTCATTAAATCTCATATGATAAAGGATTTTCCCCAATAAAAATATACATAAATATATTTATTTTTAGGAGTCTATAAGAAATTCGGAATATCCTTCTGAGATTATCGACAGTCTTACTAAAAATCTGCAATTGCAGATAGAAGATGTAGGATTGGATTGTTTATTAGAAGTTATGAAAAGAGAACTACGTACAAGTGAAAATACATCGAGAATTACTAATAGTTTTGAACTTCAGAAGAATCTATCAGATATTAAAGATAAAATTGTAAGTATGTGTGTACAATAGTACCTCTGATTAATTAATATGAATAAATGTTTTCTGTGGTGCATTCATGTTATATATCGGAAAACAATACACCATACACCAATACAGCAACCCTGTAAATTTTGAGTGCATTGCAATTTCTAAGAGATGGGAAAACCCAAAACTTTATCTATCTATCTTCATTAGTAAGCGACTATAAAAAATTAATAACAAGGGATTATTAGCTGTAACATGACAATACTTTAGGTATAATATCGTTGTTAAATTTCTTACTATAATTAGGTTTGTATTTATGTACGTCCAATTTCTAACAGGGTGGAGTGAGGGACATTGGATGATTATTTTCAATGTGCTACATAAATTTTGAATTTGTACTGGCTCAATCATCAGAAAATACGGAAAAGTTTTTCGTGCATTATTGGGAAGTGATTTAGATAAGGCGGAATTAACTAGAATGAAACGTACACATCCCTCAATCGACTGTAATAAATGGTTCTACGTGGTTATACTAATAGTAGTCCAGTCGTCATAGAGAGAGTTTGTAAGAAAGAAGTTTGTAAGAGAGAGAGTTTGTAAGAAGACAAACCAAATCAAAACGCACCGACTACTCTGGCAATTATAGGACAACAATTACCAGAGTATCTTACTAGAGACCTCTAATGAGGAAAAATGAAGTTAAATGTGTCGATAGCAATTAAAGTAAACTGTATACCCAAGCTTAATCAAGCCATTCAGAGCGATGCTGGGAATATTTATATTTCATTATGCATCAACAATTTACCCATATAAATTACCATCATTCTTGTACTCATTGCGTCGAGTAAGGACAATAAATATACGAAGGCGGTTGCGTTTCGATTTAATTTGAGTCTCTTACCAGTCCCTGACACGTGTTTCTGGATCTACCCGTCATCAGAGAGAGTTTGTAAGAAGACTCAAACCAAATCAAAACGCACCGACTACTCTGGCAATTATAGTAATCTGGTAATTATTTGCCTATAATTGCCAGAGTAGTTGGTGCGTTTTGATTTGGTTTGAGTCTTCTTACAAACTCTCTCTGATGACGGGTAGACCCAGAAACACGTGTCAGGGAGTGGTAAGAGATTTAAATTAAATCGATACGCAACCGCCTTCGTATATTATTCAATTGGTTTCTTTTATGCTACCTTTACTATTAACTAGTTAATTATTGTAGGCTTTGAAAAGAACTTCTTTAATACAGTATTTAGAAATAATGCAAGACATTTTTTTGGCTATCAGTCGCATGCGTAATACAACTTCTTTGTGTGTACGGAAATTAGCAGCTTTTACGAATGATCTAAGCTGGTGTTCGATGCTTCAGACGAAATTGAATTACCAGGAAATAAAAGTATTTGAAGATTTTCCTTCAGAACACAATAGAAGATTTATTAACACGTAAGTATGATCTCTCTCACTATTAAATCACAATCTACATTTAAGTTTTGAACAATCCGAGTCCACCTCCAGCTAATAAAGATTTTTCTGATTTTATTTATTGAATGCAATGTATACATACATTCTGCTCTATTCAGAGCACATCGTCTTCATGTAGTAACGCCTAAATTCGCAAGTATTTTTTTTACTATAGGTCGACCAATGAGCAGTAAGGTAGAAGATGAGTTACGGCTCGGTGTTACTCACTACATTGATCCGGAAAGGCGTGGCAACGCTAGAAAAATTCATACTTTTTTAATATAAATTGGTGTGATAAATCTATGGAAACATATCCTGGTGCTTTGTTATATTTCTTTGTTTTGCGGATAGATTTTCCATTCCCAATGAATCGTCTGGAATGAATGAGAATTTTTTAGTTGTTAGATTAGGTTTAATGTGGGCGCTTTACCACCCGTCTACTCGACCTAAGAGGTCTATTGTAGCTTATCCGTAGGTTAAAGTAGTCCTTCAACCCAGCCATTTAATATAGTGTATTATGGCCTTAGGTGACATTTTTACAATGATTTTGTTCATGTGCCACTTGAGGCGACAGTGTTCTGTTAGGACACCTACGACAATGCGCAGATCACTTCTATTCATATCTAGCAGATCTTTGGATCTTTTCTTCGAAGATTTCCGCCTTTCGAGTGTTTGACTTGTTCGTACCAGTAGTTACGTTTTATCCGTTCCACCCAGTCCGATAATGTTTTTTTTTACTGCGCTTCTTCCTATGCCAACGACAGGTTGTGGGTCCCTTTTTAGTTGTTTTATTTGTCATATTGACTTTCTGATAACATTTTCTAGACTCATATTTCTTGCTGCATACGCTAGCAAATGCTTTTTGGTGGTCCATGCAAGCTAAGAATTTATTTATTTGATTCTTGTAATCAACATGTTCATCTTGATGAGATAATATATTATACCTACCACTGAAATAATATATATTCCGCAGATTAGTAATAGTTAAATTTATTTATTACTTGTACGATCGATTGTTATGTATTGTTGATTAGAATATTAGGTATGGTTCATATAAAATTATCAAACATCTATTGGATTGATAATTTTGTTATATGCGTTTTTTATGCTTTTTGTATCACGTTTACAATTAAATTATGTATTTTTATATACATTAATATTAATCCATTCGCTGCGCATGCCCCGGAACCGGGACTTTGTCGCCTTGTGCCTGTATCCATAACTATAGTAATAAAATAAATGTATAAAATACGCAGCGAATGACCTAACATAAACGATTGTACGTGAATGCATTAAACACTAAATTATTTTATTTTTCAGAGACCCGTCTTTGTATTATAAAGATATACACACGAATACATTCCTATGCAATCGAGAAATTAACGATGAAAATTTGAATAAGTTAATTTTTATATTAAACAACCCATTTACGATGCCAGAAACAATTATTTTAAATATTTTGCGAACTAAACTAATGTTAAACGCTCTGAAGTTAATCAAGCCAATTGAAAATAAAACTCGTTACAATAAATGTAAGTAAAATATTTGATATGCCTCTTTAAGAGGGTTGGGGGATATATGTACTAGTGAGTTATGCGTTAGTGTTGTGTCAATCGTTTATTTTGATATATTTACTAGTGAGTTATGCGCTAGTGTTGTATCAATCGTTCATTTTACGAGAACCGAATCAATCAGTGACCGACTCTGAATACGATCGAATCATTTCAATCGTTCGTTCGATTCAATACTTTTCGTTGCAGTTTAAAAGAAATAACGAGTAATCGATTGATTAAACTAAATCGACTGAAAACCGAGAGCATTGCTGACGATATTTCACATGTGTATTCACCTTCACCTAAGTGATTGGAATCTCTCTCTTCAATCCTGACCCCCCAGGGAGAGTGTAGTGGTCGACGTGATGTCGTGTATTGTCCGTCTCCAGAGATCTCTGTCTCTGGTCATTTCTTTTAATTCATGCATAGGTCTTTGGCATATTCCTGTAATTTGATCTATCCATCTTGTTGGGGATCTTCCTCGTGATCTTCGGCCTTCTACCTTTCCTTGTATTATGAGTCTTTCCATGTTTTCTGTGTTTGCTCTCATAACATGCCCAAAATATTTTAATTGTTGGAGATGGACTTTACTAGAGAGTCGTTGGCTAACTTTTAGCTCTCTTAAAATTGAATTATTTGTTCTGCGGTCGGTCCAAGGAATTCGTAACATTCGTCTCCAACAGAACATTTCAGTGGCGTCTATCTTTCTTCTCTCCGATTGTCTCAGAGTCCAAGATTCACATCCGTAGGTCAGTATTGGGAATATTAAGCAGTTGATCAACCTCATCTTTATCGCTCTTGAAATTTGACAGTCCTTCCATATTTTGGTCATTTTTGCTGTGGCAACTTTTGCTAGATCAGATCTACGTTTAATCTCTTCTTGTAATGACCCTGTGTTTGTGATTAATGATCCCAGATATAAGTATGAGCTCACAACCTCGAACCGGTCAATTGTGGTTATGTGTGGATGATTGTTGTGTAGTCTATCCACTATCATGATCTTTGTCTTTGATATGTTTAATTGCAGACCAAATATTTGACTTTCGTTTTCGATCAGTCGTATAAGTTCTATCAGCTCTGCTTGACTATTTGCAAGAAGGGCTGTGTCATCTGCGAAACGTAGGTTGTTTAGTTTATGACCATTTATTGAGATGCCCTTTTCCCATCCTTCAAGTGCTCTTCGCATAATATACTCCCCATATATGTTGAATAATTGTGGAGATAGTATACATCCTTGTCTGACACCCCGTTCTGGATGAAATTCGTTCGAAAGTGTGTCAAGTACTTTAACTGATCCAGTAGTGTGTTCATATAGTTCGGTTATAAGCGTAATTAGATGTTGTGGTACGCCTACTTCTTTTAGTATTCGCCATAAGTGTCTCCACTTGACCCTGTCGAACGCTTTACGGTAATCTATAAAACAGATGTATAGTGGGATGTTGAATTCCCTAGATTTCTCGATTATCTGTCTTATATTCAGCAGGTGTTCTCGAGTGCCTCTACCTTTGGTAAATCCAGTTTGCTCTTGTGGAATTTCTCTTTGAAGGAATGTTTTCAGTCTCTCATTGATTATATGTAGCATTATCTTGCTGGCATGGGATATAAGAGAGATAGTTCTATAATTGTCGCATTTATGGAAGCTGCCTTTTTTATGTATGGTCGTTATTGTAGATTTTGTCCAGTCTTCAGGCCATTGTTTGGAATGCCATATTTGGTTACAGAGTAGATGAAGTAACTTTACGCCGGTTTCTTCTGTGGCTTTAAGCATTTCTGCTGTTATCATATCTGGACCTGGTGCTTTGTTATATTTGAGCTTGTTGATAGCCTGTCTTACTTCATTTTCGAGTATATCAGGTTCTTCTTCCACCTCGTCAGAGATTTGGCTAACAAGCTCTTGGCGTTGATCATCTTTATATATGTCCCTGCAATACGATCTCCATGTCTCTGCTATGTCTTCTCTGTTTGTTCTCAGGGTTCCAGTGTTATCTTCAATGGCCCAAGTTCTGGCTCTGAAGTCTCTTGTCAGGTAGCGTATTTTTCTAAATAGATCTCTCGGCTGATTATTCTGACCATGTCTCTCAATTTCTTTGCATATACTTTGATAGTACTGTTTTTTGTCGGCCTTACATCTTCGTTTTATTTCTTTATTGAGGTTTCTTAAACTAGCTTTTTCCCTTTCACTATGTACACCACTTTTACAAAGATTTCTTCTATTCTCAATTATTTTAAGAGTTTCATCTGTTATCCAGTGTTTCCGTTTCACCGGATTATTTTTCTTTGAGCGATCCACTGGTGTTGTTACGCAATGTTTAACAGTCTCCCATATTTCTTGTGATGTTCCGTTACGAATAGAGGGCATACTTTTCTGTACTTCCTGTAGAAGGTCTTCTTTCTTTCTTAGTTCTATCCTCTTTATCTCTCTTTGTTTGTTGGGTGCTTTAAGTTTAAGCATTACTTTAGCTACGAGGAGAGTATGATCGGATCCGCATATCGCCCCTGGATATGATCTGACTGTTTGAATGGACGATCTCCAGCGAATATTGGTGAGGACGTAATCTATTTGATTTCTAAATCTATCTCCAGGACTTTTCCAGGTATAAAGTCGACGTACATGGTGTTTAAATCGAGTATTCATGATGGAGTAGTTGTTTGTGATAGCAAATTCGATTAAACGGTCTCCTCTTTCGTTTCTCTGCCCTATGCCAAACTTTCCCAGTACATTCTTTAAGTCGTCATTTTGTGTAGTGTTGCCAACTTTTGCATTAAAGTCGCCACATATTATAGTAAGTTCTTTATTTGGTATGTTAGCGATTGTGGTCTCCAGTTTTTCGTAGAACTCCTCGATCTTTATGTCATCTGATGTGCTGGTTGGCGCGTAAACTTGTATGATATTAGTTTATGTGTGATTGGAATATCACGTTTATTTTTATCACGATATATATTTTTTAACATATATGTACGTTTGGTCTCGCTTTAGCTTTGTTTAGAAGGCGTGCAAATAGACATTTTAGGATTTTAACTACCTACTAAACTAACTATTAACAACACAAGCGAAAGCAATCTCTGTGGCCCGATAGAATATTTTCCAATATTCCCGGTCTGTAGCTAAGTCCCTGCCTTAACCGCAACTATTTTCTTTCTTCTTTTTCAATCATTCAAACGAACACATTCAGCCGCATAGCATATATCGGTCTTCGTCGCAAGTGAGGAACGACCAAGGACCGAAAGTAATGAGAGTATAGAGTATTGGCGATGTCAAACGAAAGAGGCGGCACGGTGCGGTAAAATTTTGAACTGGTGCACGTAGGATAACAAAACATTTTGTATTTAGTTCTACACACATAACATAGTTATAAACAGTTTAAATATTATTAAATAAAGCACAATAAGGTAACAAAATGTTAAAAAGTAAATGTAAACCGTATTGCTTTGCACCGCAATGCAGTAATTATCGATCGGAAGGAATAACTATGCACTTTTTTCCTCGTGAGAAAAATCTATAAGATCGTTGTGCACAGGAATTAAAAATTGGGAAATCGATATCAAGTGATATGATGGTGTGTTCACAGCATTTTTTATCAACAGATTTTTTTTCAATTAAATTTTCTGAACAGAATTGCAACATTTATTATATATAATGTGCCTACCTACCCTAACCAAATATATACACTAAAATAGATCTTAATTCAAATTTTTCTGCAGCAGGGCAAAAGAAATTTCAAAGAAAGGTGTTGTTCCCTCTCAATGCCTTCTTAAAGGAAAACACGAAAGAAAAATCAATGAGGAACTGGTGAATGCTAGACTAATGCGTAATAAAACACGCACATTCCTCACTGGCGGGCTTTACAAGTCCATTTTGCCACCCACACTCGTCTCTTAACACATCCACAGTGATTTCATGTGGGGCACAATTTAAATTAGTCGTTTGCACACACAAACCTACTAATTTGTTATTATATTTGCCACACAACACAACGTGGCCAGCCTTTAACAAGGCCTCGCTTTCTTTTAAAGGTCTTTTTGTGTCTCCTATATATTTCAAAATATGGAGCAGACTAACTTCGATTTCTTTATTTGCCATTGCGTTAATAAAAAAATAAATGGAAGGTAATAAATACGGATAATTTTTAGACACAGCAATCATTCACCTACAAAGATTATGGTAGCTCCGTTTTGTTTTCCTACGTGCGTGATCAGCTGATCATCTGTCAAAGCGCCCCTATAGTTCGTTGACATCGCCAATTGGTAGGATTGTGTTTTGGTTCGATCGGCGCTGTCGGCGGTCGGTCAATTGATTGTTGTGACCATACAATCGGATCGTTATGAACTAGCGGAAGTATTGGCTGTGGGATTTTGTTTTGGTTCGATCGGCGCTGTCGGCGGTCGATCAATCGATTGTTGTCACCGTACTATCGGATCGTTATGAACCAGCGGGATGCGGGTGTTAAATACTTGAAGTGAATCAAAACGAATGAATCAATCATGATTGATACAACAGTATGTATATGTATGTAGTGATGAGTGTCTTACCACCCGGCTTTTTAACGTAAGAGATAGAAAACACAGTTACCTTGCGAATTAAAGAGATGAAACTCGTAGAGGTGGGAAATAATCAATAGAAACCTATAATTTACATTACATTACATTACCACTATCGATAGTCTCACGCCTTTAGACGTTAGCTTCGAGCTAAATCAGCTCGGTCATAATTATTATGTGTGACGTATTTCCATTTTTTAATTTCGCATAAAGTAAAAACTAATTGACCACAATAAAGCAAAAATGTGAATAAAATAATTTAATTAATAGTGATTATTTAATCTAAAGTTTTAAATTATTAACCAAGAATAATTTCTACTACGATTTGAGGAGTTTCATACACTATTGTCACGGAATAATTATCAATCCTTCGTGGAATAGTGCTAAGAATTCGACACTGCGACGTAAACGTCGCAGACGATTAGAGTTCAGAACCCACA